ATTCATTTATCAATTCCAGGAGCCTCTTGGTTGAATCCATGGGGTTTTCTAGATATAATATCATGTTATCAGCAAATAGTGAGAGTTACAATTCACATTTAAGTTCTATGAATCAACTTATGATTTCTAATACTAAATCTATTATTTCAAAATTATATTCTAGTGAAATTCAGTTTCAATAAACATTTCTTCCAATAATCCTAATTCCTTTTATCGACTTTATCAACAAGTCCTTTAATTCTACTTCCAGAATAAACCTTGAATCCTCACACTTTTTACTGTGTCTACCATCCTAGTCCCCAGCCTTCATCTCCTCTCTTCCCTTTTACTAAGCTTCTGCCCTCTGCTTTTCTTCCTCTGCGATTCACTGGCTTTCTCCTCCCAGGCACCTGAAAAATGGTGGCATCCTGCTGCACCTAGAGATGGCCCAGGCACCACAACAAAGTTGCCCCCTGCCTCCAAGCACTTCCTCCCAGTTCATGAGATAAAACCCAACTCCTACAAGGAATCCTCATGATCTGGCTCTTGCAATCTTCCATCATTATCCCATTCTACCCCCTTGCCCCTGCCTGCCTCTCACATTAGCTCTCTCTGCCTGCTTTCTGTTCCTCCAATATGCCACTCTAGTTCCTACCTCTGGGCCCTTCCACAGATGGTCTCCCTTTCCTGGGAACATTCATTCTCCAGACCTTTGAGCACTGCCTCCTTTTCACCACTTACGTGCCAATTCAATGTCACCCCCTCAGATGTCACCCTGACCAGCTAGCACTTATCACTATCTGAATTACTTGTATTTTTAAATTTTTACATGTATTACATTTTAGTCAATCAAAAGATCCTGTATTTCATTTATTTCAAACATCTTCTTAGAAAAATAGGTTAAAAATCATCAATTTTAGAATTCTTTCCACCAATTAATGATACAACAATAGCGATGAACAGGTATTAAATACTTACTATATGCTGGACTTGGTTGGTGCTAAATGGTTTACATGCACCATCACATTTAAATTTTACAAAACCCTATGAAACAGCATGCTATTTTAGAAATGGGGAAATTAAGGCACAGAAGAGTTAAATAAATTTCTCAACATCATAGAACTAGTTAAAAGGTAGAGGTAGAACTAGAGTCAGGGTCTGATTATAAAACCTAAGCTTTATATCACTATTCTATCACATCCCTATTCTGTCTCTGCCTTAACGTTACTGTGCTTGAGCACTACCATCATGACATTTTAAATATAAAATCTGGTGACTTTAACCACTTCTAGCACATTTCATACTTACTCTTTTCACATTGCTACCACCACCAAGGCAACCAAGAGCTTCAGATCTTTGAGCAAAGAATTCTCCTAAAGACAGACGTAAATAACTGGCATCGTCTTTGTCCAAATCTGGTGTGCTAAGCGATTTCCTCAACAGATTATAATTAACTGAAGCTCCCCAGGATGTATCCCCTAGTCCAATCGAAGTGTTCTGAGCATCTATGTTTTCTTCCTAGGAAGAATGTTATGGTTTCATTATTTTCTCCCAGCAAGCTGCCTTTCTGTTCTTCTAATATGCAAAACTAAAAAAATTTAAGAAAGTTTCAGAAGTAATTTTTATAAACCAGACAAAAAAATTTGGACAAATTAAGTGCAAGTGGCTACCACAGCTAATGAAGTCCAAAAGAAGAGAACTTTATTTTTGAATAATTGAGTTATAATATGCATTATCTTAATATAGTCATAAATAAGAATCTTTAGAAAGGGATACATCTTCACAAAAACAAACAGGATTACTTCATTTTAAAATATATTTTATC